AGCCGAGACTGTGCCACTGTGCTCCAACCTGGGTGATGGAGTGAGACTTTATCTCAGACCTGGCTTGGACTCTTCAAATCTGTTCCAAAACACAAAGACAGAGGAACCTTTCCAGAACATACTGTTTCAGAATTTCTTTTGCTTTAAAGGACTTTTGGGACAATTGTCAAAGTCTGAATAGTCTATTGATTAGAAAACAATACTGTATCTGGCCAGGCAGTGGCTGACACTGTAATCCCAGCACTTTGGGAGGCTGAGGTGGGAGGATCCCTTGAGCCCAGGAGTATGAGACTAGCCTAGGCAACATACTGAGACCCTCATCTCTATTTAAAAAAAAAAAAAAAGGAAAAGAAAATAGTATTGTATCAATGTTAATTTTCACATTTCTTTATTGTACTGTTCCGCCTTGTGAAGGAAAATGTCCTGTCTTTTTGGAAATACACATTATTTAGGGATAAAAGGGCATCATGTCTGCAACCGACTATAAAATGATATAAAACATGTGGCCAGGCATGGTGGCTCATGCTTGTAATCCCAGCACTGTGGGAGGTTGAGGCAGGCAGATCATGAGGTCAAGAGATCGAGACTATCCTGACTGACATGGTGAAAAACCATCTCTACTAAAAATACAAAAATTAGCTGGGTGTGGTGGCGGGAGCCTGTAGTCCCAGCTACTCAGGGGGCTGAGGCAGGAGAATTGCTTGAACCCAGGAGGCGAAGGTTACAGTAAACCGAGATTGTACCACTGCACTCCAACCTGGTGGCAGAGTGAGACTCGATCTAAAAAAAAAAATGTGTGGGGAAGAGAGAGAGAGAACACTAAAACAGTGTGGAAAAATATAATGTTAACATTTGGGGAATCTTGAGTTTAAGAAAATTTTTTGTATTCTTGCAACTTTACAAGTCTGAAAATATGTCAAAATAAAAATGAATGAAAAATAAAAATGAAAGTAGGGTGATACGAAATCATATCTTGAAAACTTTCCTCAGGTATTACAAAAAAATGTCTATGACTTAGCTAGGTGTGGTGGTGTGCACCTGTAGTCCCAGCTACTTGGGAGGCTGAGGTGGGAAAATCAATTGAGCCTGGAAGGTTAAGACTGCAGTGAGCCATAATCATGCCACTGGCACTCTAGCCTGGGAAACAGAGCAAGACTGTTTCAAAAAAAAAAAAAAAAAATTCTATTGTATAAGGGAATTCACAACTCTTGTCATTGAAGTCAGAATGAACGTAACTTAAAGATTAGTTTCTGTGCCTCTTGATGAAGAACACAACATTATCTATGAATATGCCTCCAAAACTTCGTATCTGAATTGACTTAAGCCTAGATCCAACTATCAGCTTGCAGGAAATACAGAGAACAGAGAAAAATCCAGACTAAAAGAAATTCTGGGCCGGGCGCGGTGGCTCAAGCCTGTAATCCCAGCACTTTGGGAGGCCGAGGCGGGTGGATCACGAGGTCAAGAGATCGAGACCATCCTGGTCAACATGGTGAAACCCCGTCTCTACTGAAAATACAAAAAATTAGCTGGGCATGGTGGCACGTGCCTGTAATCCCAGCTACTCAGGAGGCTGAGGCGGGAGAATTGCCTGAACCCAGGAGGCGGAGATTGCGGTGAGCCGAGATCGCGCCATTGCACTCCAGCCTGGGTCACAAGAGCGAAACTCCGTCTCAAAAAAAAAAAACAAACAAACAAAAAAAAGAAATTCTGGAATAATAATCTGGAGTCTTCAAGCAATCAATTGCAAAGATTAAAAGAAATAATTTTTTTTAAAAAAAGATAAAACTAAGCTATAGTATTTGGGGATGCACGTTTGGCTGATAAAACTACAAAGAAAATAAAAGGAATGATTAGTATAAAAGAAAGTAGAGGCCAGGCACGGTTGCTCATGCCTGTAATCCCAGCACTTTGGGATCCCTCCCTGAGGTCGGGAGTTTGAGACCAGCCTGAACAACACTGAGAAACCCCGTCTCTACTAAAAATACAAACAAATTATCCAGGCATGGTGGCGCATGCCTGTAATCTCAGCTACTCGGGAGGCTGAGGCAGGAGAATCACTTAAACCTGGGAGGTGGAGGTTGTGCTGAGATGAGATTAGGCCATTGCACTCCAGCCTGGGGAACAAGAGTGAAACTCTGTCCCCACCCCCCAAAAAAAGTAGAAAATAGTTATTCTTTCTTGGGAGGAACTGGGGATTGTGTTTGGGAGGTGTCCCTAAAGGATTTAGAAGTGCTTGAGGCTAGGCATGGCGTCTCATGCCTGTAATCCCAGCAGTTTGGGAGGCAGAGGCAGAAGGGTCACTTGAGTTCAGGATTTTGAGGCCATCGTGGCCAACATGGTAAAACCCCATCTCTACTAAATACACAAAAATTAGCCAGGTGTGGTGGTGCACGCCTATAGTTGCAGCTACTTGGGGAGGCTGAGGCAGGATAATTGATTGAACCCTGGAGGTGGAGGTTACAGTGAACGGAGATTGCGCTGCTGTACTTCAGCCTGGGCAACAGAGTGAGACTCATCTGAAAAAAACATAAAGAGAGAGAAAGGTCTGTTAGCAGCACATAAAGCCGTATGTCAGTAGAGATTAAACTTCCCCACAATTGATAGCTTTATGCTCCAAATCATATTCTGCTTATCTGTATTCACTAGTCCTTAGAATGTTGCATAATAATTTAGCAACACTAGCTTTCCTATCTGTATATCCAGAAGCCAAATGGTTTCAATGTTTTTTTCCCCCACCTGGGGATTGTGGGGTGGCGGGGGGGGGGGCGGTCACAGACTTGAGTATACAATGAAAATGATGGATGTTTTCCCCAGAAAAACCTCCCAGGCTCAAAACACTCAAAATTTTGAGTAGTTTCAGGAGTTTCACAGACCTCCATCTGCACCTCAGAGTAAAAACCTCTGCCCAAGACAGTGTTTTCTTTTAGGGCAGAGACATTGTCTTTTTTTTAATTTTTATTTTTTTGGAGATAGAGTCTCACTCTTGTCACCCAGGCTGGAGTGCAGTAGCACAATCTCAGTTCACTGCAACCTCTTCCTCCCAGGTTCAAGTGATTCTGCTGCCTCAGCCTCCCGAATAGCTGGGATTACAGGCACACACCATGCCTGGCTAATTTTTGTATTTTTAGTAGAGACGGGTTCACCTTGTTGGCCAGGCTGGTCTTGAACTCCTCAGGTGATAGTCAAGAACTCAAGAAAATGTGTTCTCCAGAAAAAAAAAAAAAAAAAAAAAAAATTCAAGAAAATGGAAGAGCATCAGCTGATGTATTATCATCATGATTATTACCCATTACGCCTCAGCCTCCCAAACTGCTGGGATTACAGGCGTGTGTCACCACGCCCAGCCTCTTACTCTTTTACATACTATTGCCAGCACAACTGTCCAAGATGGTAGTCAATAAATGTTTAGATAAATATAATAAAGAATCCAGTTATTTTCACTTTTTCATGTTGGGTTTTCAAAGTTGACTTTTCAAACAGTAAAGTTAACTTTTCTCTCTCCAGTATTTGTTTTGTGGAATCTATTATACTTTGTAATGCAATCCAGAGAAACTTGGAGGTCACTTTAAAATTTACTAGTTTCAATGATACCCATGCTGAGGTGCTCAGAGGTGAAATGTAACGCATTACCAATGGATGGATATATGGATGCATATATGAGAAAGCAAATATAGGGAAAATTAATTGTAGAATACAGGCAGCGGGTACACAGTTGTTCACTGCACAATTGTTTCAACTTTTCTACGTGTTTGAAAAATTTCATAACCCGTTGGAAAAGTGACTTGTTTTACTCAAGCAGGGTTACATTCAATCTTCAGTTTTAGATATAAATCTATCATTCCTTCTGTTTGCAAAGCGCTTTAGTGAGTCAGAATAATTCCCACAGTACACTTTAAATCACCACACAAGGTTTTGATAGGAAATAATTTTATTAACACAACCAGGCAATTGACTGAATACAATTTAGATAGATAACTCAAAACATGGAGTTACTGCGCTGAAAATGTGACCCTGTTACATACACAGATTTCGGGAGGAAGAGTATAAAACAGGAGAGAAAAGGAGTCAGATTTGTGGCTGTAGCGTCACTGTAGAGGTGAAGTGTTCCATTGAGTGCAACGATGGTAGTCTATTTCAGTTTCCTTCATTAAGGTCTGAGGAATCTACTAAGCCAATGTACGCCCTCCCCATTCGTTAGAAACACAATGCAGTAAAATAGCAGGAGAGGCCAGGCGTGCCAGCTCACCCTGTAATCCCAGCACTTTGGGAGGCTGAGACTGGAGGATCGCCTGAGGCCAGGAGTTTGATGCCAGCCTGGGCAACATAGTGAAACACACACCCCTTCTCTATTAAAATGAAATTGTTATCTTTTTCCTTTCAGTTCATCGGTAACAAGATAAAAAAAATAATTAAAAATTAACTTTTAAAAATATTTAAAGTAAAGTAGGAGTGGAAGCAGTATGTGGAATCACGGGGCTTGGTTCTGAATCCTATGTAGATCGGCACCGTGAAATGGGCATAATAATGATCTCCTAGGGCTGTTGAAATAGGAAAATGGAAGAGCAGCAGGTGATATATTAATATTATCACCATTATTATTACCCATTACCTGACAAGTCATAATTGTGACATGAAGGAGGAGGCTGGACCAGTTGTCTTAACAATCTTTTCCGTCTAGAATTCGGCTGCAAGGTCTGAGACAAACACTTCAGCTCAGATCAGCACTTTCTCTGAGCAGCGGTCACCGAGGAGCCCCCAAACCCCAAACCCCCAAGTCCCTGGGCGCCAAGAATGCGGTGGGTCCTGCGCATGCGCAAGGATGCTGGCTAGCTCGCCCCCGACTTAGCGAATAGCCTGTTCCATTCCTGAGGGTTGCCGACATGGGGGGAGGCGGGAGACTTGGAAGACTGGGTCTGGAAGTGCAGGTGCGTCACTAGTTTTTCCAGCCTTTCGCTTCATGAATAACAATTTGTGATTATTATACTTATACCTTGATTGCGACAGGCTGCTGAGGAGTGTGAGTTTGGTGAACAATTTACCATGTATCCTACCCCTTCACCTGCGCACGTTAGGGAGGGCCGGCGTGACGGCCAGGTACGGAAGCCCAGAGGGTTCCGCCCACCGCCACGGGGCCCCGCCCCTCCGCCTCTCAACCCGTAGGTTGACCAGCCGGCGGCGTCGCCGGGCTCCTCCTTCTCCTTTCCGCCCCGCCGGCCGCGGGCGCGGGGGACGTCAGCGCTGCCAGCGTGGAAACAGCGGCGGGGCGCGGGAGGAGGAAGTAGCGCCCGGGACTGTCGGGCCATCACCGGCCGCCTCAGCCATGGACGCGTCCCTGGAGAAGGTCCGTACCGAGAGGGGGCGATAGGGACGGCACTGTGACCCCTGGCCCCCGCCTCCGAGGCGACTGTTTCCCAGTCTCTAGCTGCCGTTGTGACCTGGGCAGGGGGACGCTGGCTAACGGGCCCCGCCTGAGGAGGCCTGGCTGGGAGGGCGATTGGGGCTGGAGCGCGTCGCGGGGCCAGGTGTTTGTCGGGTCCCCGACGGGCGGAAGAGGCTGGCCGGGTTCCTTGGGGGCCGCCAGGGGCCGGGAGCCCAGGACTGGGATCGTGGGGCCGACCTTGGGCCCTGCCAAGGTTCCGTGAGGGGCTGGCCTGAGCGCGGCTGGCCCTTTTAGGAGGACGAGGAGCGGCCCCAGGTGCTCCCGGAAAGAAGCCGCAGTTTTTTCGGAGCCAACTGCAAACCTGTAGGTTTTCCTTGGTCTCCGAGTTAGGAACGAAAATTGCTAAATTAGTGTTTTTCCAACTTCAGCCTGCGTGGGAATCATCTGGGGCCTTTTGTAAAATGTGGATGTTCAGTCCCGGGGTCAGAACCTCTGGGGGCGGGACCGGGATCTACGTGTTTAACCGCCACCGCCCCCCACCACTCTGCCCCACGCAGGTGATTCCAATGCTGAGCGTGCGAACACCTGCCGAGAACCTCTGAGGTCCAGAAAGGGGTGGGTATAGCGTAAATTGCAAATTGAGTCAGCTGCTCCACAACTTATTGGCTCTCCCTTTTCCAGTGGCGAGGAGGGATCCCCATGTTAACCCAAAATCCACTGGTAACAGCGGCTTCCTCTGGTTTCTCCTTGGGGGAACAGCAGCGTGATGTACCTGTGTGACTGCTCTACCATGGGAAACGGCTTCTGCTTGTCCCGACTGTAGGGATGGATTGTAAAGGGGAATCGGTGCGTGGGGTTCTTCACGGATTCTTGCTTTCAGTACCCGAGATTCTGCCCTCCCTCAAAGCCCTTCTTTCTCTTCCACCTTGGGAGTCTGCTTGTCCAGTCGCATGCAAACTCTGGTTTTTCATGCATGTGGCATTCAGGAGCAATGCTAGTGTTTTAAGACTGCTACATTTTAATTTTGAGCTGGTAGGAATAATACATTTTGTCTTTTTTCAAGGCAACAGCTGTTGTGGATTTGTTCACTTGTCACTGGAGAATTGAAGGCAATAATTGTAAAAGTTGGGCCAGATGGCTTCATGTTCTCATTGGTATAGCCTACTACTCGGTTGCTTAGCGTAAACTGGGGTGGAAGACAAGAAAAATAGGGTTTTCTCGTGCCATCTCTGGGGTGAATGTTTTGTGTTTTCCTGGCTGGAAATAAAGTCTTGTCCAGATGAGTGGTTCTTAAAGCAGGGGGCAGTTTATTTCCCCAGGGGACATTTGGCTATCGTTGGACATATTTTTGCTTGTCACAATGGGGGCAGGAAGGTGCTGCTGGTAGAGGCCAGGGACGCCTCTAAACACCTTACATTGCACAGGACACCTCCCCCCGCTGGAGAATTCTCTGGCCCAAAACGTCAGCAGTGTTGAGGCTGAGAAATCCTGGTGTAGATCATGTTTACAACACGAGCAGTTGAATACAAAATGATGCAAAGTGTTTTCAATTTCATATGAAGATGGATGGACTTCATGTGGTTGTGATTGGAATCCTAAAGCACTTAGGGTGATCTTTCCTTCAGGAATAGTTAGCCTTTATTGGAAAATCTGCAGAGTGGGTCAGAATTCTGCTTTAAATACGACTTTTTCTGGCATTCGATCAGTAGATCAAGGTGGTTGCTGTAAGTATTAATTGATGATAAAATACATATATATATATTTTTTTGAGACGGAGTTTCGCTCTTGTTACTCAGGCTGGAGTGCAATGGCGCGATCTTGGCTCACCGCTACCTCCGCCTCCTGGGTTCAGGCAATTCTCCTGCCTCAGCCTCCTGAGTAGCTGGGATTACATGCACGCGCCACCGTGCCCAGCTAATTTTTTTGTATTTTTAGTAGAGACTGGGTTTCACCATGTTGACCAGGATGGTCTCGATCTCTTGACCTCGTGATTCACCCGCCTCGGCCTCCCAAAGTGCTGGAATTACAGGCGTGAGCCACCGCGCCCGGCCGATAAAAGATCTTAAACTCTTCAGTAAAGATCTCAAGAGGGACTGAAATTCCAGTATGTCTAATACTGGCGTCTTCACAAAAATTGCAGTTATCTTTTAGGAATTCAGAACATGTGGGCTGGAAGTTTCTGCCTTAGGTCAGTGTGAAAATTCTGAATGTAAGTTTTTCAGAACTATGACTGGGACTTAAACGTTTATATTCCGTGAAGTAATAGAGGGCCTTAGATGGAATGAACAATTTCTGTTGGTGCTAAGTGGGCAGGAAGGAAAAAGCATTGCTATGAGTGTTGATGACTTTGTGTGCTGAAAAATAGTTTGAATCGAAGTGAAACATTTAGTTGTGTTCATTATTCCTGTTTCTCTGAGGAATAGACTATGCTGCCTTAAATTCTACATGGTTAGTATCAATTTGGGAGCTATTTGAGCAGTTCGGAATGATCCCATTTAAACTGATCCTTGCATAATTTATACTGATTACAGAAACCACATTGTTATTTGATACCCTCTAAAATTTCAAATAATATCTCTCACTTTAAAATGCAATATGTGACAAAAAACACAAAAATTAAACAAAATGTAGTATGCCATCATCATTTAGTAGGATCTCTTAGTACCTTTCCTTTGGTCCAAATATATTTCTGTCCCTTGCTTTTTCTGTAGATGATAGGTAAATGTGCAGACCTGTGGTCACAGAGCCATTTTCTTGTCATGATTTGCTTTTCTTTCACAACAGTATCAGTTTTCTTACAGCTGAGATTACTGATGTCCCAATAAATCAGATAGGTTAATTGAGGAAGCAGGGAATTCAAACTGAGAGAGGAGTGGGGGCTTTGCCCGAGCCCCACACTGTGTCCAAGGCGTAAGGAACAAGGCCCTGTAGCAGAGTCTTACCGTGTTTTTTTTTTTTTTTCCCCATTGAGATGGAGTTTCTGCTCTTGTTACCCAGGCTGGAGTGCAATGGTGCAATCTCGGCTCACTGCAACCTCTGCCTCCTGGGTTCAGGCAATTGTCCTGCCTCAGTTTCCTGAGTAGCTGGGATTACAGGCACACGCCACCATACCCAGCTAATTTTTTGTATTTTTAGTAGAGACGGGGTTTCACCATGTTGACCAGGATGGTCTCGATCTCTTGACCTTGTGATCCACCCTCCTCGGCCTCCCAAAGTGCTGGGATTACAGGCGTGAGCCACCGTGCCCAGCATTACAGTGTTTACTTATGTTAATATTCGAGGAAGAAAAATGCAACAGGAAGTAATCACTATAATGCTGAAGATCTTAATAAGTTATTAAACACAGCTCTCAGTTAAAACCTGTTAAATTACTATTTTTGAGACAGGATCTCAGTCTGTCACCCAGGCTGGAGAGCTGTGGTGCAGTCTTGGCTCACTGCAACCTGTCTCCAAGACCCAGGTGATTCTAGAGTCTCAGCGTCCTGAGTGCTGGGACTACAAGCACTCACCCCCACACCCAGCTAATTAAATTTTTTTTTTTTTTTTTTTTTTGTGGAGACAAGATCTCACTGTATTGCCCAGGCTGGTTCCAAACTCCTAGATTCAAGCCATCCTCATGTGTTAGCTCCCAAAGTGCTGGGATTACAAGCGTGAGCCACCATGCCAGGCCAAAACCTGCTACTTGAAACCTGTAGAATAGCCCAGACATTTTTCTGTTGGTTAAAAAGTCTCATTCTTCCTGAGTATTATGTTTAGACAAAGTGAACTGCATTTGCTTTGCATTTACTTTAATTCCATCCTTTTGCAAACTTGGAGCAGTTTCTCAGCATCAGCACTACTGATATTTTGGGTCAGATAATTCTCTGTTGTGGGGGCTGACCTGTGTACGGCAGCATGCTTAGCAGTGTCCCTGACCTCCACTCAGTAGATGATAGTTGCACCCCCTACCCCCAGTTGTGACAATAAGAATGTCTCCAGATGGAGGTAATTGTCCCCCGAAGGGTGGGGGGAATTGCCTCTGGTTGAAAGTCCCTAACTTAGGGCATCTAGAACTACAGTGTTCAGTTTGGTAGTTACTAGCTATATTTGGCAGTTTACATTTAGATTAAAATTAAACTCCATTTAAAATTCCTTTCCTCAGTCATGCTAGCCACATTGCAAGTGCTCAACAGCCACATGTGGCTGATGTTTGCTACCCTGGGCAGCACAGACATAGAACATTTCCGTCTCCAAAGAAGTTTCCACCCGACAGTGCTAAGAGCTGGCAGGTTTTTTTTTTTGGCAGGGGAGGGGTTGGAGGAAATGAAGTCTTGTTCTATTGCCTATGCTGGAGTTCCCGGGTTCAATTGATTTTCCTGCTTTAGCCTCCCAAGTAGCTGGGATTACAGGTGCCCACCACCATGCCTGGCTAACTTTTATATTTTTGGTAGAGATGGGATTTCACCATTTTGGCCAGGCTGGTCTCCAACTCCTGACCTCAAGTGATCTAACCCCCTTGGACTCCCAAAGTGCTGGGATTATGGTGTGAGCCACCTTGCCCAGGCAATTACTTGTTATATTTAATCCTCATCTCTGAAAGAGACAACTTTGACCCTGTTTCTGACCTAAATCGCAACTCAGCCTATTTTTGGTTCTTGTACTCATCCTGAGCTAAGTGCTGCTTTCCTACTCTTTGGGCCTGATTTTAGAAAATTCTTTGTCACCTTATTGTTATGCTAGAGGTTTATAGTACCATCAGTGGAACATTCCTGATCCTTATTTACTGATAAGGACTCCCAGAATTTCGAGTTCTCCTTTGTTTAAAAGCATGAGAAAAGAACCCCTGTTTGGCAAGGTTGAATGACCAGTTTTGGTTTATGGCTTTGTAGATCTTTGTAGGTTTATATAGAAAGGAGGAGATGATAGGCTGTAATTGTAGCTTTCATATAAAACCAATTCCAACATTATCATAATGTGAGGGT